TTCAAAACATTATAAATAAATCAAGATAAACTTCTAACAATGTCCAAGTAGCCCACAGGAAGGCAAGAAAAGGGAAATAGAGCAATGAGAAACAGGGGAAATAAACAGAAAACAAACAAAACGGCAGACTTAAGCTCTAACATACCAGTAATTACTTCTATAAGCGTAAATGGTCGAAACCCAGTAATGAAAACACAGATTGGCAGAACCAATTCAAAAATACGTGATCCAACTGCATGCTATCTACAAATACTATACACTGCAAATTCAATGATACATATAAGTGGGCTGAAAATAAAAGGATGGGAAAAGATACTCAAAGCACATTTTAATTTTCAAAAGTAGGAGTGGCCATAATTATGTCAGATAAAGTAGACTTTAATTGCTAGAGACAAAGAGAAACATTACATAATGAACAAAGATCAATCCACCAGGAAATCAATGATTCTAAATGGACAGGCACCAAATAATAGAGCCTCAAAATACATGAAGCAAAAAAAACAATAGAGATAACAAAAGAAATAGACAGTCACAATTATAGTGTTGGACTTACTAAATGCCTATCAACAGTAGATTGGACAAACAAAGTTTATGCTGTGCTCACACCCATATAGCAGTTTAAGTTTAAAGACTTGGAGCTATGTATATTAACAACGTGTATTTCAAACCATAATCTTGAGGGAAACCTAGCAAGAGCTGATATAACTGTGGAATGATATAACTTATTTGAATCAGCAGCCTGACCAACTGGAATCCTGGGGGTGACCTTACTCCCTCAGCCTTGGATGGCAGCCCCGCCCCTTCAGCCCAGGGCAATAGCCCCGCCCCCAAGAACTCTGGAGGTGGTTCTGCCCCCTCAGGCATAGGAAGTGGCTCAGCCCCCTGGAGACTTGGAGGTGGCTCTGCCCCCCAAGCCTTGGATGGAAACCCGCCCTCTCAGGCCTGGTGGTGGCCTGACCACCTCAGCCCTGGATGGCAGCACCACCGTCTCAGCCCTGGGCAGCGGCCCCGCCTATTGGAATCGTAGAGGTGGCTGATCCTCTGGTACTCTGGTACTCTGGTGGTGACCTCACCCCTCAGCTTGGATGGCAGCCCCATCCTCTCAATCCTCTCAGCTTTCAGCAGGGGCCATGGACTCTAGAATCCTGGTGGTGACTCCACTCCCGCAGCTTTGGATGGCAGCACCAATCCCTCAGCCCTGGGCAGTGGGCCCACCGTCTGGAACCCTGATGACGATATCGGTCCCACAGCCATGGGTGGCAGCCCCACCCTCTCAGCACTGGGCAGTGGTCCCGCCATCTGGAACCATGGTGATGACCCCACCCCCTCAGCCTTGGGTGGCAACACAGCCCCCTCAGCCCTGGCCAATGTTCCCACTATCTGGAACACTTTTGATGACCCTATCCCCTCAGCCTTGGGTGGCAGCACCACCCCCTCAGCCCTGGGCAGTGGGCCCACCATCTGGAACCCTGCTGGTGACCTCACCTCAGCCTTGGATGGAAGCTCTGCCCTTTCAGCCTTAGGCAGTGGACCTGTGCTCTGGAATGCTACTGGTGACCGCCCCTCAGCCTTGGGTGGCAGTTCTGCTTGCAGCCTTGGACAGTGGACCCATGCTTAGGTACCCTGCTGGTGACCTCACCTCAGCCTTGGGTTGTTGGGGGCCGCACCGGGGGTGGTGGAGAATGAAAGAACACACTCAAAGACAAAGACACACAGAGAACATGGCGGCCGCACTCAGAGCCTCCGCCTCACTTTATTTATACTCCATAAACCTCACGTCAGCAGAAAGAATGCAATGCAAAACAAACTTTCTTTTCCAACATGTAACCTTCTACTCAGTACCTTGTTTCTATATTCTTTCTTATCTACCCGCCTTCTTGGCGCCTACGGGAGTTCATTAAAAGTTCAGTTGGAGATACTGTCCTTGAGCCCTATCTATTCTCAGCATACTGTTTTCAAAGGCCCCTGCATTTCCCCCCTTTTAATTTTGTTTTGCCTCAATCCTAAAAAGGTAGCCCATACTTGTTCCTGTGTTTTCTTTTGTTTTTGGTGGCGACGGAGGGAGCATCGAATCACCAAAAGAAGTAGATCCAAACCAAGTGCCCAAAGCAATATACTTCCAGAGATTGTAAAAATCCATGTCTTCATCTGGGTCCATGAGTTAAAGGCAGCAAGGCGCTGACCCAGCTCCTGAAGGGTTACAGTTCCGGACAACACATGTAATTGTTGTTGAAATGCTTCGGAAATGTTCTGAGTGAGCTCTTGGATGTCCAAACTAATATTTTTATGGCCTACTAATAATTTTCAGATTACAGTCCAATTTTGAGAGATGTTAAAAGGCACAGGCGTTACACAAAATTGAGTGGAATTCCAATCACATTGTAATGTTACCCAAGTACTGAGTACAGTGAGCTGATCTCCAAGCCATGTCAACGCTTGTTCCATGTTGTCCAATCTTTCAGCAAGTTGAGAATCAATGTTTCGCTGTTGAAGCCATAACCAGTGAGATTGCTCGTGCCATTGCTGCATAAATTCAGCATTTTGTATGCTTTGACGAAGAGCGAGTCCTGCTATGGCTGCAGTGGAGACGACGGTGACAAGGCTCATCACCAAGGCAATTATAAGTCCAAGGGCACGGAGGGTTCGCTGGAGAGAAGTCCAAATATAAGTCTCAAGAGGTGATGCCCCCCATGGTCGCGTAAGGTTAACAGGTAGCCAAATTTCCTTACGAGCCCTGAGGATATAAATATCCCCAGTAAAGTTGTGCCACCAGGAATGATTGAGGCAAGACAAAAATGTACACGTATCTGTACAATTAACAATCCCCGTAAGATTATCCCATGTCAAATTTCCTGCTAATAATAGGTAGGGCTCACGGACACAAGCAATAATATATCAGGAGGTATTCCGATATAACTGAATATGAAAGGAGTTATTCGGGTTAGAAAGATTAAGGGGCATATTCCCCACAAAAGTGCTAATGGCATCGCCTGCAACTAACAACTTCCAAAAATAACTCTGTACTTCAGGCCTCCTTCACGCCATACCAAGGTTTCATTACTGTTAGCAGCAATACTTTTATTTACCCGGTGCCATTTCAAAGGTATGTGACTAAATTTTATTTGAAAATCACCGTGCACACTTCAATCAGTTATTTGCATCCCATTGTATTCTAATAAAATCCGGGGTTTAGTTCCCCGACATTGTTGTCACTCCAGCACCTCAATATTAGGAGAAACCTCTAGAATAGGACAAAAAAGTAAAGAACTAGAAATAGTTTCATTACTATATACAGTATGATTATATTAAAAACTTCTAGTTACAATAATAACAGTATTAGCAGCCACATGACTATGATTATAACGAACAGCCCAAGCTTCATGCGATTTTCGGAGACAATGAGGACTATTTCCCATACATATTGGAAGTGCTTCCACTCCAAATTGGTATGTGCTGATTATAATTGCTGTTTCCCGTTCTATGTTGTCCTTGTCCATATAGGAGGACGGCATCCAAGTAATGTTATTGGTGAAAACCTTAATTTCCGCCTCCCCCCAGGCGACTCCCTGATACAAGGGTGGAAAGGGAATATAAGTCCAATATTCATACAAAGCCTCACTAAGAGAAATAAGTCTCCCGCCGAGGCACATCTAACAAAGGAAGAAATGCATGCTGAATCCAGTTTTCTTTTCAACAGGGTTTCAATCATCTTGTAGGAAACCACTCAGGTCCACTCCCTGTAAGGACAAGAGCATAGCCCCGTCCCTGTTTTAGAACTTGCCCTTGAACATGCTTACCTTCTTCATTAGGATACCAAACCTTTAAACTGTCAGCAGGGACTATCACCGAGGGAGTTGAGGAAAGATGGGTTACGACAGCAGAGTCTTGCAATTGTCTCCATTGATTCAAAAAATAATTAAGGTAAAAAGAACCTTCAAAATCAAAAAAATTAAGGTAGAAAGGTTAACCTTCAAAAAAATCTGGTTTTTTGGGGGGGGGCTCATTTCCCCCTTTTTGTTTTAATAGTTGAGTTTTTAAAATTAAATTTGCGCGCTCAATGATGGCTTGACCTTGACTGTTGCCCGGGATCCCGGTGATATGTTGAATATTGTATTGCTGTAAGAAAACTTGTAATTTATGAGAGACATAGGCAGGGGCATTATCAGTTTTAAGTATAAAAGGAATGCCCATAATGGCAAAACAAGCTAAGAGATGTGTAATAACAGAATCAGCTTTCTCAGATGGCAACGGAGTGGCCCATTGAAAATGAGAAAAAGTATCAATGGTATGATGAACATACTTTAATCGTCCAAAAGAAGGAATATGTATAACATCCATTTGTCAAATTTGATTAACTTGAGTACCTCTCAGGTTAACTCCAGGATGGAAGGATGGAATGCTCAAAGGAGCACAGAAAGGACAAGCTCGAATGAGAGAACGAGCTTATTTACGAGTTAAATGAATCCGTCGTTGAAGGCCAGAACTGTTAGTGTGATGTAGAGCATGTTCTTGTTCTGCAGCCTGCAAGTGGCCAATTAGAAGTGAATCAATCTGAGTATTTCCATGAACTAATGGTCCAGGCAGTTGAGAATGAGAACGAAGATGAGTGATGAATAAAGGAGCTCGACGTTGGCTCAAAGTAAAGGATAACAAAGAAAAGAATTTCTGAAGAGAAGAAGTAGCACAAAGAGGTAAAGTGGCCTGAGAAATATAAGAAGTAACATAAACGGTGTATTGAGAATCACTAACAATGTTACAACCAGTAGTAGGGAAATCAAGTAAGATCATCAGAACAGCAAACAATTCTCCCTGTTGCACCGAGGGATAAGGATAAACTGTAACTCAAGATTGATGAAGCTTCTTGCCAAGGATCGGAAGTTGCAAGAAGATAAGTGATCTGACTATGAGTGAATTGAGAGATAATTAAGGAAGGATCTCCTCCCCAAAGTTGTCGACAGTGATAGCGTCCTTTGATGATCAGTTCAGCTAAACGATCGATATAAGTAGCCAAGTGTTTAGATGTTTTATTGGACAAAAAGATCCATTTTAGCGGCTGATTGGTCTGATGAATCATTCCTGTAGGAGAATGTAAAGTATGAAATAAACAAAGGGAAAGGGGAACATCGGGAAGGATATAATGTAAATGAGCCTTTTGAAGTTGCTCTTCCACAAGCTGGAGTTCCTGTAAAGCCAAAGGAGTTAAATGACGTGAGCTGTCCAAGTGACTGTCTCCTTCTAGAATAGAAAAAAGATGTTGTAACTGAATAGAGAAAAAACAATTTTTGAGATCTATGACCATTAATTTTTAACTTTGTGGGATAAGGGCAGGATTAGGAAGACCAGGCTGTAAACTTTCCCTAGGTTTAATGTAAACATTTATAGTTTTAAGACAAGACAAAGACGGGAATTCCATGCAGAAATACATGACTTTATATTCCTCTCGGCCATTTGTTTTTTGACTTACTCTTTTAGAGTCCTAAGTATTTCTTTAAATAATGGTCACTGTTTCACATAAATAGGAGTGGTGGCTATGAGTTTAAAGGATTGTAGCCCATTTTGAACATCTTATTTTTGGCAGCTGAGGAAATATGAGGAATGTTTAAAAAAGCAGCAAATTGTTGTGAAAGATCTTGTTCCCAAAAATTAATATTGATAGGAACAATATAAAAATAAAAAAAAACACTTGACCTTGTTGACCTTTAGGACCGACACAGGTTAAAGGTTCTACGTCTTGATAAACCACAGAAGCAGCACCCAAGCCAGTGAGTATAACTGCAACTTGTCTTTTTTCCTATTGTATAGGCCTCTAATTTAAACAAATAATAGACATATTCACCCCCATATCAATTAACCCTTTAAAAACTATTCCATTAATATACAATGAACATAAGGGCTTTTGATTAGAAACTAAAGTTTCCCAAAAAACAGTTTTTTCTGTGCTACCAAATCCTCCCTATTGAGAATATATTCCCCTGCCTCTAGGCATATAAATTGTGAGACTTGAACCATAATAAGACTTTTATTAGTAACATCATGTCCTTTTGGCAAAGGGCCACACTCTCTAATAGCTAATTTATATACTCCTCTATTAGGAGACAAAGTATAAGGCTGAGTAATAACTAAGTCAGCAGCGGCGCTCTGCTTAGTTGCCACATAAAGCTGAGAAACTGGGGTAAGGTGTGGGATCCTTAAGGAGGACTTGAATTTATTCCTTAATGTTGTAGGCCATTGCTCACTGGGTATTGTATGCAGATTTAGTCAATAACAAATATTTGTAAACAAATAAGGTGATTACAGGTACAGAAATTCAGTTCGTAGCTTACTATTTAATAGAGTATCTGCTTTGTAAAAGATGGTGGACCACAAAATACTCAACGGATTTTGGTTTTCAAAACACAGTGATGCTATCCAAGGCTAAATGGATACTTGAAATTGGGATTGGATCTGGTGCTGAGATACAACTCTTACTTAGTTATTGATTTTTCTTTCCTCCGATTATTCCAAGGAGGGTGACTACCATTTTTGTACTTTATAGAGCAGTCTAGAGGAAAGGGTTAAGCATGTAAGCTCTGGGGACAGAAAGTCATATTTTCAAAATATAATAGCTATATGACCTTGGATACATTTATAAAACTGTCTTAACTCTGTTTTCCTGTCTACAAAATGGTAATAATTATAAAATTTGTCAGTCTTAAAGGGATGTTGGAAGAACTAAATGCAAGTGAAGATTTTTTCACAGTAGTAGACACATAGTAAGTACTCAGTATACTATGGCTATTATTACTGTTATTATTGTTAATATTACGTCTATTAATTTTAGCTCTTTAATGTAACAAGTGCAGAACCATAATCTCACATCCTTCAGAGTCATGCTGATCTTGTATTTTTTGGTCCTTTGACTAGTTTAGTCATTTATTACAAGAAACCTAGTTAGTTTGTGCATTCTTTTCCTTTCTTATATTTCTCATTTGTAAAGACTGATAAACCAACTACACTTTCAGACCTGGTGACATAAATTGTTGGGGCCCCAAGCCTGTGGGCCTTGGCTCCCATTTCCCAGGAGAGGAGACAGTAAATTTCCACTTTTATCAGTTTTGAAATGACATTTATTTGTCCAATGTCGACCTTTACCACAACATTTGTACACCTCTGAAGGCAGCTTTCTGCCTTGAGGGATAAAAGTGTTCAATTTTTATGACATTCTTTTTTTTTGAAATGTCTAGCTTTACCACACTGCAAACAAACACCTTGTTTGTTATTTCCTTTTAAAGCTTTAGACAAAGCTCCAGCAAATAATTGAGCATCATAAATAGCCCCTCCAACACTAACATAAGTTTTAATATATTTCTCTAAATTGGCCCCATTGGCCTTTAACGATTTTAACAATTTTTAACAGTCAGCATAAGCATTTTAAAAAGACAATGTTTATAACAAAATTTTTGAAGCAAGGCCAGCACCCACAATTTTGAAGACAGCATCCTGAAGACGGGCTACAAAATCTGAATATTGTTCATTTGTGCCCTATAAAATCTTCATAGAGGAAAGGGAAGATTTTCCTGTTATCTCTACCTTATTTTAGGCCCTTAAAAACAAAGTCTTGATTTGAGTAAAGGCAACATCATCTAAACCAGCCTGAGCATTAAGAGTAGCATATTGGCCCGTGCCTGTGAGTTGTTCCTCAGTGGGTCCAGGGGGATCACACATAATATTTTTCCTAGCCTATACATGTGCCTTGTTCATTTACCAGCTGTGCAATTGTAACCACTGAGAACGATCAAGAAAAGCCTTCCCCAAAGTCTTCCAGTCTATAGGAATCATCAAATTTTCTGATGAAAAAACATCAAGAAGACCAAGGATAAAAGGAGATTGAGATCCATAGTTAGAAATGGCAGCTTTCATTTTTTTTTTTTTAAATTTAATTTGTAAGGCATTAAATTGGACATTATTGCCACCATTTGAAAACTAAGCATTAGGAGCAAAAGAAGCACAAATAATTGGAAACAGATCTAGCTCCTTAAAATTTTTTTTTTAAATTAAAAGTATATATAATATATAATAATACTCATATCCCCAAATATAAAGAATCTCAACATATTAATAAGAAAAGGCAAATAACCCAACCAAAAGTAGCAGAACAAAGAAATGACAATAAACCTATATGTCTAACATCATTACTCACTAGGAAATATGTATATTAATACCAAATTGAGAATCATTACATACACAATACAATGGTTAAAATTTAAAAACACAGAAAATATCAAGAGGTAGTTAATGTGTTAAGCAACTCGAATACTCAACTTCTGTTTGGAGTGTAAATTGGTGGAACCTATGCACCCCTATAACATAACAATTTCCTAGCTGGGGTTATTAATACTATATTAATATTAATAGTTAATATTAATGTGTTTATTTATTGACTATTGAAATACTCATAATATTTTAACAAACAAGATATACATATACACTGGTTTTAACATATTAAACAGGTGTTTAGTATAAATTTAAAGTATGTCTGATGTGAACAGGGCTTCAACTTTGCCAAACAAAGGCAAAGATAAGGAAGCCGGGGGATTGGAGGCTCTGGAAAATCCTCTTTTAACAGGGCAGAAGGAAAAGAAACAGGGAAAGCTCGCAAAGGTGAATTAGAAGAATATATCTGTAATATTTGTTGAAGCATTTCCATAATACACTGCATGTCAGAATTTCCCTTAGAAGAAGGATGAGCTGGCTTTTTCTCTTCTCCCCCTTTTGCTACCCTGGCACAAATGGGCTCCATTTCAGATTTATTTTATTTTATTTTATTTTTCCAAATCCTCAGATACCTTTCCTCCTATGGCTACATTACCACACTCCGAATCAGTCTCAAGTAACTCTAATGTCTGAGTGATAGAGTTACACAAGGTCCACAATTTTAGAGGCATAATATCCCCTAACTGGAGAGCTCTAAGCAGAGTTTTTACTACCTGTAACCATTCTCTGCGATTCAGCTGCACTTTAGTCTGATACTGAAACCAGTAACAATGTTGTTCAACATGGGCAAACAATCACTTCAAAGTCTTTCTTTCACTTCTACTCCCATAGACAGCAACAGTCCTTGAAACAGCCATAAATATTCTGAGGCCAGAGAGATGGAATTCCCATAATGAAAGCTTAAGAAGGTTCCCCTTAACAATATCTGAGCCTTACCCGCTCCTAGGGGGTTCCCCTTCTTGTTCTCCCCTACTCACCCGTGCTGACCCTGCTCGCTGCGCCACTTGTTGGGGGCCGCACCGGGGGTGGTGGAGAATGAAAGAACACACACAAAGACAAAGACACACAGAGAACATGGCGGCCGCACTCAGAGCCTCCGCCTCACTTTATTTATACTCCATAAACCTCACGTCAGCAGAAAGAATGCAATGCAAAACAAACTTTCTTTTCCCACATGTAACCTTCTACTCAGTACCTTGTTTCTATATTCTTTCTTATCTACCCGCCTTCTTGGCGCCTACGGGAGTTCATCAAAAGTTCAGTTGGAGATACTGTCCTTGAGCCCTATCTATTCTCAGCATACTGTTTTCAAAGGCCCCTGCATTGGGTGGCAGCTTTGCCCTTGCAGCCTTGGGCAGTGGCCCTATGCTCTAGAACTCTAGTGATGACCTCACCCCCTCAACCTTGGATGGCAGCACTGCCCTGGGCAGTAGACCCACCATCTGGAACCCTGCCGGTGACCTCACCCCTTCAGCCTTGGATGGCAGCACTGCCCTCTCAGCCCTGGGCAGTGGGCCCACCATCTGGAGCCCTGGTGGCGATCTCACTGCAGCAGCTGTGGGTGGCAGCATCACCCTCTCAGCCATTGGCAGTGGCCCTGTGCTCTAGAATCCTGGTGATGACCTTGCCCCCTCAGCCTTGGATGGCAGCCCTGCACTCTCAGCCTGGTTAGTGCCCCCACCCTTGGCAACCCTGGAGGTGACCCCTCTCCCTTACCCTTGGATGGCAGTCCCACCCACTCTCTCAGCCCTGGGCAGCCAACCTACTCTCTGGAACCCTACAGGTGAATCTCTCTTTCAGCCTTGGTTGGCAACACCCCCACTTCTCAGCCCTGGGCAGCAGCACCACCTCTGGAATCTTGGCAGTGTTTCTACCCACTGGAACCCTGCCATTGTCCTGACACCCTCAGGACTGGGCAGTGGTCCTGCTCTCTGGATCCCTGGTGGTAGACCCGTCCCTTTGGCCCTGGGGAGAGGTCCCACCCTCTCAGGCCTGGGCAGTGGCCCTGTTCTCTGGAATCTAGCAGGTCCAAATGGCTCAGTTATCTGCATGTATAGCTTTTCCAGTCATTCTTCCTTCTTTTTGTCCTTTTCAGTTTCTTTTAGTACAGGCTGGTTGTGTTTCTGAGGTATAAAATTCTAAAAAATTTTGTTGGCCTCCCCTGCAATTCATGGAGGTCCAAGCCAACAGAAAAGAGGGTGCTTTATAGATCTTTACTGCATAACTGCATCTCAATTCCTGGCTTCTGCTAGATGGTTGATTGGATCCGTAAATCACACTTATGGATACTGTAAGTCATAATATCTTTATCAATGGTTGTTCTGCCATATGTTTAGTCTTCTCTCCAGAACACAGTTTGTTTCTTTCTTTCTTTATTTAGAGATGGTGTCTTGCTCTGTCACCCAGGCTGGAGTGTGGTGGCATTATCATGGCTCGCTGCAGCCTTGACTTCCCTGGGCTTAGATAATCCTCCTACCTCAGCCTCCCGAGTAGCTGGGACTACAGGCACACACCAGCATACCTGGCTAGTTTTTATATTTTCTTGTAGAGATGGAGTTTTGCCATGTTACCCAGGCTGGTCTTAAACTCCTGGACTCAAGTGATCTGCCCACTTTGGCCTCCCAAAGTACTAGGATTACAGGTGTGAACCACCATGCCCAGTCAGAACACAGCTTATTTACTTTTTTTGCAATATGGTTAGGTTGAGAATGTTATAAATCTTCAAGTTCCAGTTCCTTTATGCTTAACAATTTGCTCCTTAATTTATCTATTTCCTTTCTCATCTTACTCTAAGCATCAAGGCAGAAACAGGCTGCATGTTGTACACTTTCCTTGGAAATTTCCTTCTTTAAATATCCAAGCTCATCTCTTACAAGTTCTACTTCCTTCCCAACAGTAGAAGGTAATTCAGCCAAATCCTTTGACATTTTGTAATAAAGATCACCTTTCTTCCAGTGCCCAATAACTTGTTCCTCATCTCCACCAGGAACCTCACCAAAAGTACCTTTAACATTCACATTTCAAGCAATATTCTCTTTAAGGCAATCTAGGCTGCTTCTGTAATGAGACTCAAAATGTTTCCAGCCTCTGCCCACTACCCAATTACAAAGCTAGTTTCATAATTTTAGGTATTTGTTACAGCAAGGATCCCACTTCCCAATACCAAAATCTCTATTAGTTTTCTAGGGCTGCCAAAACAAACTACCACACACTGGGTGCTTAAAACAATAGAAATTTATTGTCTCACAGTTCTGGAGGGTAGAAATCTAAAATCAACGTGTTGATAGTGTGGAGTCCTAACTAGGGAAAAATAGTTGGGATGGTGGGACCGAGAGAAAAACAAAAGGAAAAGCTATGTCTGCCTCTTTTTTTCTTCTTTTTTTTCTTCTTTTTCTTCTTCTTTTTTTTTTTGAGATGGAGTCTTGTTCTCTTGTCCAGGCTGGCATGATCTCGGCTCACAGCAACCTCTGCCTTCCAGGTTCAAGCAATTCTCCTGTCTCAGCCTCCCGAGTAGCTGGGACTACAGGCACATGCCACCACTCCCAGCTAATTTTTGTATTTTAGTAGAGACTGGGTTTCACCATATTGGTCAGGCTGGTCTCGAACTCCTCACCTCAGGTTATCCACTTGCCTCAGCCTCCCAAAGTACTGGGATTACAGGCATGAGCCACTGCACCCAGCCTATGTCCGCCTTTCTTCATAGTCCAGGACACACAGCCCTCCTGCACAAATAACTCACAATCTTCCTGTGTCCAGCTATCACCAGACCCCTGGGTAATAGGAAAATGCAAGTTAGTTCCCAGTACTGATAACCTTGGCATTATCAGTACTGCATAAAACCCTCGTCAGGACACAGCACAAGCACCATACTATAAAATCCCCAGCAAGCCTTTGTCTACTGGCAGTCAGCTCTTCTCTTGCTAACTTGCCCATTGCAGTCTTGCATTATGCTTTTGTACTTTAGTAAGTCATCTTTTCTTTACTTACAACTGTCTTGGTTAATTCTTATCTGCGCGCCACCAGCCCCAGATAGTCGCTGCTCACCTGCAACATTTTGGTGGCCTGTACAGGAACTCCAATCTCTGTGCAGGAACTTTCTGTCTCCTTACAGGGAACCCTCTCCCCTCTCAATTTTTCTTTCCCAACTCGGGACCCTTGGTGGACAGCATCTAAGCGTGGAGACAACTGTAGGTCTCTGGCTGGGGCTACACTCCAGCGGGACTGAGAGGTGTCTGTGTGGGAAGCATCTGAGCACCATGCTCATTTGGGTGAGTGAGGGACCTGAGTTAGTTTTCTCTGTTCAGTCTCCCAGCAGCCTGCTTCTAGTATCCCTCTGGCAATTGATGGTAACTGGCTGGGGCCACTCTCCAGTGTTGCCTGAAGGCCAGAGAGTGAACAGGGCTGGCTGCCTTGCCTGGAAGGAAGACTGCCTCTCTTATCTTTTCTAGTCTAAAGTCCCTAATTCCTATGTGTGATTTAGCTGACAGCAGAAGCTCGTTCAGAGTGAATTCACACATGTTTTGGGTGACTCAGACCATCTTTCTTACTCTGAATTCTCCTGTGGAGTCAGCCAGCCATCCTGTTCTGAACGTTGCTCAACCAGGTGATCTCAGCCTCAGAAAGGCAAGTCTCCCTTACCTGCTCCTCTCCTGGGCCAGCACGAAATGGAGTTCTTCCTTTACCATTTTTCCTCGTACCTGGACTGCTCGCCCAGCGTAAGTGAGTACCTGGACTGGCCATCCAGTGTAAGACCCCTGAGTGACTGGCTGAGAGGTCTTTTATAATAGCTGGGATGCCCCTTTAGAAAGTGCACCTGAGTCCCTCAGCAGACATGAGTGGAACCTTTTATATTTTGGTGGGATGCCCCAAGAGAAAGTGTGGTTCAATTAGCCCCAAATGGCTCATTTTCCAGTCCCATTATGGGACAAACTCTGTCAGTTCCTTCAGACTCACCTCTAGGCTGCATTCTAAAACATTGGGATAAATTTCACCCTCAAACTCTCAAAAAGAAACATCTAATTTTTTCGTGTAATACAGCATGGCCCCTATGCAAGAAACCCTCAAATTAGCCTCCTCAGTATTTTACAACCAAGAACAGCAGAAGGACAGGTCTGAGGAGAGAGAAAAATGCAGGGACAAAAAGGCAGGCTAAACTGTTGGCTGCTTTACAAGCCCCAGCCCCCTCCAAGTTGTCCTAAGGACACTCCTCCAGATAACTGCCATCAGTGCAGAAGGCCAGGCCACTAAAAGGCAACGTGCCCCAATGGGATAAATGGGGAAACCCCTGCAGGGCTTGTCCCCTCTGCCACAAACTCGGCCAGTAGAAACAGGACTGCCCTGAGAACCAAAGCCTCCCTTGCCCCCCAGGACGGTATCCCAACCCCTGATGGCTTTAAGCTGAAGGGGCTCTCTGCTCCAGCTGAAAATAGCTCACCTTAACTGGTGACTTGCAGAATGTGGGAGGATTTTGTCGCACACTGTGTAAATCTGGGGTGCTAAGGCTGTCCCTGATGGGAAATAAACAAGGGTGGTAGGGGTGCTGGCCTCACACTGTGCAGTGGCTGGAAGGCTCACAAGCCCTTCTGTAAAGATTAACCTTTCTCTTCCCATTCCTTTTGTTTTTCTCTTTTTCTGTTCAATCCAAGGGTCCAGCCTCAAAAGGAAAAGACAGTTTCTAACATCCTAATCCATGATTTTGTTATTCTCTTAAAAACCCCAGCTGATTACATATTATGGCCCATTTTTGTGCACATTTTAAATTGGTGGGCAAATTACAAGAAAAAATCAGAGCTCAAATGGTTAACCTGTACTAAGAGTTAAGTCAAGTCTTTTTTTTTTTTTTTTGAGACGGAGTCTTGCTCTGTTGCCCAGGCTGGAGTGCAGTGGCCGGATCTCAGCTCACTGCAAGCTCCGCCTCCCGGGTTCACGCCATTCTCCTGCCTCAGCCTCCCGAGTAGCTGGGACCACAGGCGCCCGCCACCTCACCCGGCTAGTTTTTTGTATTTTTTAGTAGAGAAGGGGTTTCACCATTTTAGCCAGGATGGTCTCGATCTCCTGACCTCGTGATCCGCCCGTCTCGGCCTCCCAAAGT